AAACACTGATGCTCTAGGTCATGTGGCCATTATACCACACATAGAAACACTGATGTTTTAGGCCAAGTAACCATTATACCACACATAGAAACACTGATGCTCTAGGTCATGTGGCCATTATACCACACATAGAAACACTGATGTTTTAGGTCAAGTAACCATTATACCACACATAGAAACACTGACGTTCTAGGTCATGTGGCCATTATACCACACATAGAAACACTGATGCTTTAGGTCAAGTAACCATTATACCACACATAGAAACACTGATATTCTAGGTCAAGTAACAATTATACCACACATAGAAACACTGATGCTCTAGGTCATGTGGCCATTATACCACACATAGAAACACTGAAGTTCTAGGTCATGTGGCCATTATACCACACATAGAAACACTGATGCTTTAGGTCAAGTAACCATTATACCACACATAGAAACACTGATATTCTAGGTCAAGTAACAATTATACCACACATAGAAATACTGACGTTTTAGGTCATGTGGCCATTATGCCAAACATAGAAACACTGACGTATATACCAGGTCCAATGCTCGAGTACCCCCACAAAAAAAGAAATGACAGAACGCGTTATAGAATTTCAACAATAGTTAAAAATTAACTAAAAATAACGTATCTCTACCAAAGTTTTTAGAGAAAAATTGGAAGACTAAGTTAATGAAATATAAAATTTAAAAACATTATTTAAAAATCAGTGGTATTGAAAAACATGTATTCTATTCCGAAGACATTTTCCAATATTTAATCCACTGTAACTATCACAAAACTGATCAGCTAATCACACTATGCTATAGGTGTACGCTGCAATGACGTGAATAATAATAATCCAACGCATTTCGGGTGTAACACTAACGGAGAGAGAGAGAAAAAGAGAAGCATGTAAATAGAGATTTAACGTTTGTTTCACCAACGGTGTGTAGGAATATGTTTGTTTCTGTATTTATTTGCTTATTTCACATGCCTAAAGAAAATGTAACTTGAATCACATCTGTGAAAAAGATTTTTATTAAATCGACTAAAATACCTAATGTTTCTTTCCGTTTTCTGTTGAGGCAGAGTGAGTTAGCTGTTATGACATCCCAGAACGAAGCGACACTGAGACAGAAATATTCCTTGTAATGTCACACGTGTGTAGTCAAATCTTAAAATACTTTACCATGAAAATATTTTTATCTGCAGAATAGCATTATCGGTCTGTATGTCAAGAGAGATAATATAACAGTTAACTGACTTAAATTCTAACGGATAAAGTTCCGTACGAGTGGATAAAGCACCAGAATTTCTAGCAAGAAGACTGAGAATCGAACCCCAGACTATAGAGTATTTCTCGTGATTTTGCTGAAGCAGAAGTGTAGGATGTAAACTAATTAGTATCTAGTAATTATAAACGTAACTAATTAATGACTGTACTGATCGTATAGGCTACTAATTAAGGCAGTGACTGACATACGATCATCACAACCTCACAGTTTAAATACTGAAATGTTTTCAATTGGTGCTGTCCCTCAGTTCAGAGGGGAGTCAGAGTTCTTGTATTATGTGAAAACTTCTGTTGTTATTATGTGACAAAAATAAAGTCACTTTTAATAAAGTGTATACGATTTACAAAATTCAAAAGTGACGAAATGTCAGGGAAGAACATACTACCTGCTATTAAAATGTTAGCCTGCTTGAATAATAATTTGAAATAAATTTCAGCAACTTTATATTTCACAGAAGCTTGTGAAAATTGTAGAGCATCTAGAAACAGTTTCTGCGTTAAATGATGTTTAGAAAATAACAGAACATATTATCCATCAGCATTAATTCCTCGCCTCTTTTTTTTCAAGCTCTTTCAAACGTCCATGGCAGAAAGCGTACTACAAAAATAGAACAGTAACGCCACAAACCGCAGATGTTACGTAGCCTTTACACATAAAAAAAAAACCTATAAATTCTGTGTACTCTGCTTTACTTACCTTTTCAATGGTGTGATATTTTTAGTTTGCCCTGATTTTAACCAGAGTAGCCTGTATGAACCACAATAACAGGAGGAGCCGTCAGATACTGTATTACAGAGCAGTGCCTAGATTTTTCTGCCTTTGACCGAGCTTTTACACAAAAGAAAAAGACTTGACACAATTCAAAAGTGAAACCTTTCATAATCATAAATATAATCGAAATGCATTAAAATAAAATCTTTCATAACAATTAAAATAAAAGATAATCAATAAAAAATCAGATTAAACTTAAAATCACTTTTGGCAAAAGTCAAATACATACAACGAACCGTTAAAAAACTTTCTTACATGAGCAGAATTAAACACATTCAAACAGCCTTTGAAAATATATACATATATACAGAACTTTCTTTTAAAACATACATACATAGATTGAGACAAAAAATATTTATACAAATCATATCAAAGATATATATGTACAAAAGAACTAACTACAAAATCACTTATCTAAATTAATAAATAAAATGAATTTACAATACATATATACATATGCAATATCTATTAAAGAAGGAGACTTGTCTACCTATGGAAGTTCTAATAGCTGTTCCTCCAACACAGTGGATGGCTTTTGGTGTGATGTGGTGATTTGGTAAAGAATTTTCCAGGCTCTCACAAATGCCTTTTGAGTCTGGCAGCTCATTTCGGACCTGCTGCACTTGTCTCTCCAATAGTGGTGTCTTAATACCTGAATCTTGTACAATGTGAATTGCTCCAAGATTTTTGTCAGAGGGGTGGGTGGGTGGAGGACAGTTCTATTTTCTCCTGAAGTAGGGTCCTTGTCTCTGAGTGGCTCCTTTGTCACTATTCCATCATTGAAATGGAGGTAACCTTGTTGAGGGCAGTAGTCACTCCTCTCATTGTCGTGGTAATGGAAGATTGGAAAGCTGATAATCCCCCATTTGTTGGAAGATGTACAGAGATTTTTCTGGCATTTGGGTGCCATCTTCTTCCTCAATTACTTCAGTTCAGGGAAAGTCCTTCATGGGCAGGAGATGTGATTATCAGCCCAGAGATGGAGTCATGGGAAAGGTTATTTTGATTTCTTCACACTGCAGCCCTATAGTGGACATTTATAGTTCTGCCTGTGATCCTTGTACATTGCTCAGACCCTGCTCTTCACCTGGGGCATCAATCTCGTAAGTAAGTGAATTGCAGGAAGGCTGATCATGAGCTGGCCTCATCCATTTGACGTCTCCAGCTCAGTTAGAGTCCTCTTTGGTGATCTTGTGATGGGAAATGCTTGTGAAGTATCTGTAACTTAGGAGATTTCGGAGCAAGCGTGGTGATGGCCTTGGTCATATCTCTCATGTGTCTTTATCCATGGGCTCTATTGAGATGAATGCCAGTCTCAGGAGCCCTAGGCCCCAAAGTATATTTGGGTATGTCAGTGAAGCTGTTAAATAGGTAGCACTTAGCTTTCTCCTTCTCTGTTGTTGTTGAAAACAGTTCAGTAGTCACTGGCAACACAAACAGAATGATCCACAGCTGGCTGATTGAAAAACAATATAGCCCAAAAATTTTTGAATTTTATTTTAAGTAGAAAGAGTTGAGATTGAAAATGCAAAGAAAATTAACTCGTTGTTCTAAACTTACATTTAAAGACAGTGTTAAAACTACTGTCATGATCAAGTGAGATTTCTATAAACTTATGTACACTCATGCATTTATAACATGTAGACAATGTATCTTCATTATCTGTGGATGTTCTAGTCCTCTAGGGTTTCACTGGGTCTCAAACTTGGACACTATTTAGCTATGGTTTAATGATGATGGTCCACAGCTATCATGAATACCAGCCACAATCCCCTCATTACAGTCTCTTTGTTATAAAAAACAGAAACAGAATCCAGAAGGAAAGGAATGAGGGGTGAGAATGTATACTCCAGTATCTACACAAGTAACCAGAAACTAGACTGGCCACTGCATAGACACTAAAGTTGAATCCTTGACCATGTAAATTTATTAAACTAACATATTGTTTCCATTTTTTATCTATTTTCTAGATCCGAGTTATCCTAGTTAAAGACAACCATGAAATAATATCACCTGAGTATTACTTCTTGCCTTCAGAGCACACTATACATTTTTGTGCATTATAACTATACCTTGTACTTCAAGTTTTAAAACTATATTCATAAAACTGTGTTCTTTCTGGAACATTTCATTTATGACTGAAAAGTATTTACTCACAACTAAATAAACTATTGGGTACACAAAGTTTAACTTTGGCAAGATACCTACTACTCTTTGTGAATATCACTACATAATATTACTTCACTTACAAACATTTATACTTGATCCGGTTAAAAAGTTCTTAGATACTGCTAGCAAAACATCACGTCAAACTGTGTTTTATAGCTATCTTAGCATGTGTATCACTGTCTATCATCCTTCCTATGAACATTCACTACCTGCCAAACATTTCATCGTCAAAACTGAAACACTATCTCTTCCGTAATAATTAAAATAACAGGTTTGCTGTATCTTCAAACAATGCTTCAGAGACAGATAGTCACAGTTAGCTTGATACGTCGAGATGTTGGCATCCTGCTTACCAGTTATATTTTTAGTGATTGATTCTATTATGTTATACAACAGTCATGAACGATCCTGTATATTGTTCTACACACGTGTGCAACACCATATATACTAATTAACACACACATATTATCACATCCATATATTTCTATAGCATCTCGAGGACGTCTAGCAAAGACAGGCCAGTAAAAATAGAAGGTTTGCATATCTCGTATGTGAATGTGAGAATTGGACAAAGAATGAGACAGGACACACAGATTAATACAAGGAACCAATATTTAATTGAGATATTCACAGTACAAAAACAACAATGCACTATTTTACAATATAAGGCAAGTGATTGTGTATTTACATGTGTATCAAAAGAAAGATGTTTGACAAGAAGTAGTGATAAAGACTTTATTAAATAATATATCCTCGTTAGGACATATTCCCACCCCTAAAATATAGCCTAACATATAAAAGAGAATTACAAGCAGAAAGTATCTCCAAATTCAATTTTAACACAACAAAGCTAACTCTCACCTTAACCTTACTAAATAACAATAGCACTGTATGTTTTATTTTAAATATAAATCTATACTCCACTACCCTGTAGAGCAACTTATTCACTATTCACTCACTGGTGAACCTAAACAACTACTTAACTAAATTATAGGCAAAAGCCAAATGATGGCCACATAAACGAAGATGAAACTTAGCTTTAAAGTTACAAAGGAACTTGAAGAGTTCTCGCAGAGTGAAACTACACAAATCTCTTATCAGCAATCAAAAGCAAGAACTCTAAGAGTGTTGTGTGGAAGTTAAAGTTGCAGAAACACTATAAAATCACTGGTGAAGTCCAGAATGAATTTAACCATGTTATTTTACTAAATATCTCTTTAACATTTATATAAGTGAGATCAGGTAACATTTTGGTAAATTCTGCATGAAATGTAAACACATCATGTAGAAAATACCTTTAAAATTTGTTCTCTCAGGTTCCAACTCTGCTGTAAACAAGTTTCTGAAACAAGAAAATTGTGATTGATGCATGTTAGATCAGTTGGCCAATGGTCAATGAAGATCCTGAACAAGTCCACCCTCAACTACTGCCTGAATTGTTGACAAAAATAACTTTGCATACTAATTTAAAAAAGACATTGTTATTCTTGTAGGAGAACCAGACAAGATAGCACCTGATCTCCACGTGATTCATTTAGCTCCTGGGGTAAAGTTAAAGTTATAAACTTGCTTGAGTAATGCTATATTCCAATCTTGTGAAAAATAAAAATTTAGTGAAATTACCTTTGAATTAAAAAAATTGAAAAACATTTTGCACAGCCAAATACTACATTTCCACAGTACATACCAGTAGTTGCAAACAGATTGACTCTGGCATCGTAAACCATTACTATGTTAACAAACTTAGGATACTATTTAAGCTATACATCAATGATTATGGTGCTGCAACATGCCACAATTTGTGAGCAGCAAAACTAAACTTATTTTCAAGCATTACAAAATAAATAAGATGGCAGAATTCAACTGAATCAAAACTTTTCAGCAAACATTCTCCTAGGTAGGATTAGTATTTGCACTGTCATTACCTTGCGTACCTTCCACACTCTCATTCCAGTCTAGGCTAAATACTATAATCCACAGTGAATAATATTTTCTGCCAACACCAGTCATCAAACTAGTAAACTTATCACATCACTACAGAAGTTGATCTACTTGTTACAGTTAGTACCACAGAAAAATAACTTCTTGCAAATCCAATGAAATAAAATCTATTCCATTCAGACCCATTATAACCTGATTTACATTCTGTGCTGGCTGAGAGTACAACTTTTCACCATACATGGATGTGTTACACACATTCGTGTGTACTTAGTTCCTCTAGTGAGCATTCCACGGGAGGTTCTCAAGAACTTTCACCACTCAACTAGATAGTGAACATTACTCATGAAGCTTTGGTTGAGTGATTCCCTGGAGAAAGTCTCTCAATGACTCGCAAAATAAGAGACAAACACCCTTTCAATTCAGTTTCCAAAGTCCTAGCCAAAATTTCCATTTGTGCAAACTTTTCTAGGCATTACATCTAACAACACATTCTATCCTAATTGTGCAGTAATCGAGCAACTGTCAGCCAATAACCTGTAGATATCACATGCAACACTCTTCTCAACAGCTTGGAAAGTGGAAAATAAGAGTCATAAACGTCCCATACATCTAAACATTTACAATTATCATAATTTGCTAACAGCTGAGTAGTAGTTACAAAATCTAGTAGTTACACGTTTAATTGTCAAAACAGTATCATATAATAGCTCAGAAAACAAGGGTCAAAAAGTTCTTTTAGTTATTTTTAGTCCTTTTTGATTTCATGAACATCATTCAGCAAACACCACTTTATAGCTTGAAAACTTAGAATAATCACTTTCTTCCAATCAATAACCTAATAATCAGTGACTGTCCTAACTGCTAATAATCAAGTGGTAGTCACAAAATATAGTCCGTGCATTTTGTTAGACTGCATCACCCATTAACTGTGAAAGCAAGGAATGTTATTTTATCTCAGTCACTAGCTTCTTCACTAGTTTTTGATTTAGCAGATAATCCCAGCCACATCAGTCAGAAAGGCATAGTCTGCATCTCAGCCTACAACCAATCTAATGTCACTCATATCTGATTTATTATGCACAGAAATATAAGTATTTTGTTCTCCTTCCCCTTCTTCAGCTGAGCTGAGATGATATGACACAGTATACTTGTCCTCTGACTAACTGATCCTAACCTTTGATTCTGGCCTATTCGGTGCACAAGAGGTGCATCTGTAATGTATGGTTACAGCATATCAAGATTTTCCATGCTATTACATGCACCATGCAAAAACTATATCTCATACATCAATGAAACAATTTGTCATAGTAGTAACTATGGACCCACTTAATCAGAGCTGAGTGTCTTATGTGCTACTGGCACACACCAAAGCCAGACCCATCCCCATGTTGTATGAATGCTCTTTGACTCTTTTGTAATAACATCTCTTCTGCCATACAGCGGTGTTCCCAACTTGTGATATGCAAATTCACGTGTGTTAACTAATGCAGTTTATGGCCTCTCAATATATTCCTGTATGATTATAAGGAGCAATATTTCTCTGTCAAACATGAGCATGTTAAATGAATAGCCAGTCGAACTGTATTCCATTGTATGGTACATCATCATGACATACAGCAAGTGTTTGTCCCAGTTAGTTTCACTGAGATTAATGTATTTTGCAAGTATCCACTAGATAGTTTATTTCACTCATTCTGGAAAAATTAGGCGAAAGTTAGCACTTGTGAATTGAACTGTTTAGTGCAAAGAAAAAAATCAAACACAGCAAGACTTAAGGTTAACGAAACGTCTTATGAAAGACGAAAATAAATAATAATACTTGCAACTTTTAAGCTTAAACGTTTTATATTTTATGAATATATACATGGACAAATGCTTGAAATGTCTGAAAACGGCTTTATAAATCTTATAATAGAACACTATATGACAAAATATGATATTATATTTTTAGTGTTTTTTATGATAAAATTTGGTATATACATTTCAAAATAACTCCATAACTGACTGTTTTGACTATTTGTTACAAGTTTCAAGAAGTAGTGAAATAATAATGGAACAAACAAGAAACGAGTATGTGCATCACTAATTAATCATACTTTACAAAACACGGAAAATGGATTATTTCAAATTATTATACGTTTTTAAACACTTCAAAAGTTCAAAATAAGGAGATGTTTACATCACCACCACTCCATTAGCAGTCATTCAAAAGTTTTTTCTCTAAAATAAAGATAGCTTTGAAGGAGCACTTATAGTTTCTAGGATTGAGTAAGGAGAACCCCAGACACTACCTAGTTAAACCTTTAAAGTTATAAGTGACTGGCTCATAACATCCCTAGTTAAGCATTTGAAATTAGTAGAAATGAATTTAAGACCCCCCCCCCCCACCTCCACAAACATAATTAGAAATCATTGAAAAGTTAAGTGTATTCATACAGCTAAATTATGAAGGAAGAGTTCATTGAAACGGATAGAAACATCGCCTTTGTGTGTTCTTTATGAGTTTATTGACTGTGAAGGCTCATATAGTAGAAGTTTTCACTGTTTTTCGGCTGTTAGAAGATAACTGGCTAAGTATTTACACTCGTTTTGGGTGAGCAATATAAATCCTAAGTTTCCTTTGCTTATCTCGTTATAAGTATTTGAAAATTAACAAGTTAGTAATTATGTGGAAATTAACAAGTCAGTATTATAGATCATGAAACACGATATAATTTTTATAGTGAAGTATTTTAGAATAAATGTTAGAGAGATATGTCGAATTTTATAAACAGTTTTTATAAAAAAATAGTTAGAAAAATAACATTTTACCTATATTCATATTATTCCACATTAAGCCTATCATGAGAACAGAATAATCTATTTCAAAATAAAACAGCAATGATAAAAACATAAAAACAATAATAGTCTATTTGCATGAACCAGATTACACTAGTGAACATGATTAAAACCTCCGAAAATGTCGTCATTTGCTACACCTGCTGTGCTAGGACTTGTACTCTGACTTAGGCGCGAAATGGTAGCTGACGTAACTGTGTTTGTTGCATTGTTTATGATAGGAGTTTCAGAATTTGTTGAGAGGGTCGTGATACTGTTAAATGTAGAATCAAACTCAATTCCGGTTTTCTTTTTCTCTGTTGTATTCACATCTGCTACGGTTTCTGTTGTCTGATCAGAAATCCAATTTGTCGATACGTTCACATCTGATGCGGTTTCTGTTGCCTCATCAGAGCTCCAAGATGTCGTTACGTTCACATCTTTTCCAGTTTCTGTTGTGTAATCAGAAATCCAATCTGTTGACGTGTTCACATCTGTTGTGGTTTCTGTTGTCTGATCAGAAATCCAATTTGTGGATACGTTCACATCTGATGCGGTTTCTGTTGCCTCATCAGAGCTCCAAGTTGTCGATACAAGAAACCATAACAGATGTGAAATTGTGTGGTCAGAAGTCCAATATGTAGACGTGTTTATATCTGGTAAAATGTCTGATGTCTGATCAAATCTCCCACTTGTTGTTGCATTCATTAATACACCTCTTACGGTTTCTGTTGTGTAATCAGAAGTCCAATTTGTTGACACGTTCACATCTGTTATGGTTTCTGTTGTGTGATCATAAGTCCAATTTGTTGACGTGTTTATATTTGGAACAGTGTCTGATGGCTGATGAAATCTCCCATTTGTTGTTGCATTTACCAGTACTTCTCTTACAGTTTCTGTTGTGTGATCAGAAGTCCATTTTGTTGATGTGGTCACATCTGTTGATTGTTTAGTAGTTTGGTTAAGCAGAAGATTCTGATCTGTTGTTAGTTTACCTAGAGTTAAGATTTCCGTTTGATTAGACTGATGGCTGTAATCTGTTGTTATGGTAGTAGGAATAACGGCTATTGTTGTTTTGTTAAAAATCCACCCTACTGTATTACTTAGTGTAGTTTTTGTTTTCTGGCCCGTACTTTCATAATGGTAAATGGTGCTTTCACTCATCGTTGGTCGTAAATTACTTGTTCCGTGAAAAGAGAAAAATATTTCAACTTTGTTTTCATTTGTCAGAATGTTCTTGGGCGTGTTTTGCACCTAAGGATATATGACAGTATCGTGTTAAATATTTTAATTGAATGGATGGTTAATGTGAATCATCTTAAAAGTTTTTCAAAGAAATAGCATACTTTTGACTACTAATTAGAACAAAATATGATGACTATTTAGATTATTTTACAGTCACGAAACGTTCAGCGATAATTAACAGAACTATAAAAGATAATTACCCAACAATTCATCGTAACATTACTGCCTCGCTGCAACTCTATTAGTTGGACCATCACGAGAAAACTAAGGTATTTTCCAGTCGTAGTCTTGGTTGGAAATCCTGTTCTACGGTATATTTCAAGTTTTCGAAATTTTTTCTTGTCAAAATGATTCTGGTATAAATATACATAAATATTTATGTTTAAACATATAAACGTAGATGGTGTTATATTCATTTAAAACTGTAATACGATGTCACTAATTATTGATCATTAAATTATAACTGTTTACTACTTATTACACGGAAGTTAAGTACGTTATATTAAAACGATTTTGGAGCCTCACCACGTCGTAACAGTCCATTGCCACGTCCGATCAGGCTCTGTCTTACGGCTGTACAATCTTGAGTACACTACTATTCCTTGCTGACCTTTCATAATCTATCTAGTGTACGTAGCGACGGTTTCCCAATGCTCGTTTTCAAAAGTACAATCGCTCAGAAATCCATAGGCGTTGCATGGCAATTTGATTGATATGTCTCATGAATGCCCCTTTCATTCTCCAGCTGCTTGAGATATGCAATGGCTTAACAAATACGTCCTGGAAGCAACCTCTGTGCACGTGACTTGTGTTACTTTTTCAGGCGGCGGTCCTTCTTGACTATGGTGCGTACTGTTGCCTAGGGCATATGGACTGACCTCTGTGTTCGTGGGTTCTCAGCTGTTAGAAAACGCTATATTTTACTTACTACCAGGAACATCTAGAAAAAGGCCAATAATAAGTGGTAGGCCTCTTTCTGGATGGTCCTGGTGTCTCATACTGATCCACATTCCTTTGTTTTCCAATGTCATCAACTGCAAGTAACATACGTGTCTTGAAAATTCTAAATTCTCGATCTTTATTATTTGAGTGTGTGAATATATTGTGCCGAAAAGGACTGTTACATACCCTTTTCAAAAGCGATCGACTGTTGGTGCCATAACCCTTTACGTAAGAAATGTATATACAAAATCATCTTAATATAACGTACTGAACTCTGTATTGCTTATTTAAAAGACAATGAGGAATTATTTTGTAGTAAAGAAGATTTACTCCGCACCTTGGCTTTGCAGGTGATGTTTGCAAAAAGAATAGTTTCCCTTGTAGTAGCATCGTATGGGATTCCACTGCCCTGTTCAAACAAATAGAGACATATCCTGGTTATTACAAAAAAATGTTCTAAATTTTCACATTTCACTACAAAAATTAAAAATATATATTAATGCCCTGTTACTATGTGTAGAATTAATTCTATATACAATTCTGGTCAATAGCAATGTTTAACGTTCAAACTTTAAATTAGTATTTGTTTTTGAATTTTCGTCCATGTTTCTGTAAGTCTAAATTTCCTACGTTTGACATCCACAAGGTAGACTACAGACCACGTTTATAAAATCTCATGCTTATTAGTATCTAGATTTGGAAATGAAACATAAAAATTCTACATTTCACAGCAAAGAACACTGTAATGGTTTAAAACAGACAAGAAAACTTGACTTACAGATAAAGCAAACAAATTTACCTTTTCTTTCTCAAACCCAAGCACAATGCATGGACTGATAACGTCACCATTAATGTCGTAACCATAGTTCTTTAGTGTCGTACAGTTATCACTAACTGCAGTTGTTTCAGATACGGGTGATCCTGGATGAGCACCATGACGTGCTCCTTGTTCCGGGTAATCTATTGAACCATTATGAAGAATAACTCTCTAAAGTTGATTATTGGATTTTAATTAATTTATTTTGAGTTGTTGTTTTTTTACATATATCTCAATTTTTTTTTCAAAATCTAAATTTAAAAAAACTAGTATTTTACCTGCAAAATTTTTCTTCTGTAAATGTGAATGTCAATTTCCAGAAGTGATTTTGCAACAAAATTAATATGTAAATAGCCCAATAATTAATAAAGTTGGAGTTATAAAGTGGGCCTGGTAAATTCGTTGTTAAATAATGACACTCCTGGCCTGGCATGGCCAGGTGGTTAGGACGCTCGACTCGCAATCTGAGGGTCGCGGGTTCGAATCCCCGTCACACCAAACATGCTCGCTTATTCAGGCGTGGGGGTGTTATAATGTGACGGTCAATCCCACAATTCATTGGTAAGAGAGTTGGTGGTGGGTGGTGATGACTAGCTGCCTTCCCTCTAGTCTTACACTGTTAAATTAGGGACGGCAGCGCAGATAGCCCTCGTGTAGCTTTGCGCGAAATAAAACAAAACCTAATGATACTGATCTGTAAAATTCTTTATCGATCATGAAGTGAGATTGTGGGATTCTTTAAAAATTATCGAAAAGGTGTGTTAAATCAAATAAAACAAAAAGAGTCTAAGTTTTTTATCCAATTATGAAACGTGTTTATGAAAACCTCTAAAATAACGAATAGGGTATTGGATAATTTAAAAAGGAAAATATCGAGTTTTATGGTATTGTTATAGATAAAATACTAGATGTGCTTAATATTATATATGGTAACATGTTAATTAATGTTTAGTTAGAATGTTGGTGAGTGACGTCGATCTTACCATTTAATATTCTCCGCATATTTTCCACATTTTCTTTGATGTTTCTCTCTTTGTCAAGGGAAATTATGTAGCGATTACTGGAACTTTTATCACCTCTACTTTCCTGATGAGGGTAAACCACAAGTTTCCCTAACCAAAAGGAAAGAGGTTCGTTTTCACTGGAACTGAAATCACATGATAATACTAACATGCTGGAAATCTATTACAACAACGTCATATCACACGTACTGAATTTCTTAGTAGTCATATAACGATATGGAGATATATTGTGTGTTTGCGACCTACTTATTCCTCAAATAAATACAATTCTTTAGGACTGTGGTTATAAACTTCATTTTTTGGAATGTTTTGATTCGTATCTTTCAGATTACTTTTAAATAAGAATTTAATAAGAATTTCTCTAAAAGCGATAAACTTAATTATGTACGGTATTTTTTATGTCTGAAAAATATCAAAATGATTTTACTATTTTTCTACTTCAAAATACTAAGAACTATTTTCCTTTGAGAAAGAACACTACATTTTTTAAAAAAGAAGTTAAAACGTCTTTTACTCTGATGGTAACGGCGATTTTTGTCTTAAAATCATCAAAATGATTTTTTCAGTTAAATAGGCCTTTATTTTTCTTTCAAATCACGCTATTATGTTACGATAAAAAAATAATTTAAATGTAGGAAACAAATACTTGATCTATATTCTTGAAAGAAAACTTTGTTTTTTCTAAAGATGCTGGCATACCCATATTGCGTGCTGCTGGGTAAGGATGGTTACGAAAATGACCCGTTTGTCCAATCTTCAACGTATCTTTGGAAACTGAACTTTGTCCAAGAAACGAAGCTCTTCCCACTAACCAGATACTCAAGATAAAAACTAAGGCACAAAGTCCTAAAAGTACACAGCATAACCCTGGAAAGTTAAAAATAATAGAGGTAAAACACTGATTGATTTATAGTCAAGAAAGATGTAATATATTTGATCTCATTGTAATTTTTAATTTCGGATTTTCTATTAAGCTTCATAAGACGATACGACTGAACTTTTTTTAACTTTGGCAACATTTAAGGGTAAAAATTAAAACAAGATTAGAGTAAAATATCAAATCAACATGAACATTTATTTGTTTGTCGTTTAGCACAAAACTACACAATGGGATGTGGCCACCGCGAATATCGAAACCCGATGCTTTAGCGTAAAAAGCGCTTCAGATTCGCCACTGAGCCACCGGTGTATGTTTGTGTGGTGGTGGTAACAAAAAGAAATATTGCCAATGTTGTTAGCAAGCTTTTTTTAAAGTAGAAAATTCATCACGAGTGTGAGAGGAGAAGGCTTTATAACGATTTTCATAATTTCTGAACTTCAAAACTATTTACCATTATTTGCAAGGTTTTCCTGCTTACTATTTATGTCAAAACCGGCTCTTGAACGAAGGATTGAAGATACAACATCGTCGTAAAAGACAACTAACTACGCAGTTGAATTCTATTAATGTCGAGCTAGGAAATCAATCTCCCAGTGTGGCTTTACTATAAAACAAGTTCCGCATAAACGACACTCAAAATATAGAAAGCCTTATTAGATAAAAGTAAAAAATAAAAATATGCTGATTCATCGTTTTTCTATAACTCTCATAAAATCTCTTCCGTTCTCACTCATGACGAACTTTCTGCCTTAAAAGAGCTTGTTAACAATATTAATATTGTTGTTATCAGATCAGACAAAACACTGTTAAGTTTAAAACATACGACAAGTCAGTTTATAGACATGGTAACCTTAATGATAGAAGACGAATTAATTTTAAAATGACAAGATAGAAGAGAAAAACACGATATCTATATAATGTTAAGTTTGATGATAAGAAAAAATATATTATAGAATTTAAGTTTAACTCGAAGGAGCACTGGGTTATAGAATGATAATGGTAAAGTAAAATGTACTTTAGTAAAAGGAAGAAGACATTCTTTATTAAATGGTGGGTGGTTAGGGCGCTCGACTCGCAGTCTGAGGGTCGCAGGTTCGAATCCCCGTCACACCAAACATTCTCGCCCTCTCAGACGTTGGGTCGTTATAAATTATTGACCAATCCCACTATGCGTTGGTAAAATAGTAGCCCAAGAGTTGACGGTGGGTGATGATGACTAGCTGCCTTCCCTCTAGTTTTACACTGCTAAATTAGGGACGGCTAGCTCAGATAGCCCTCGTGTAGCTTTGCGCGAAATTCAAAACAAACCAAACCTAATGGCTGGTCTGTTCGAGTCGTAGGATGAAAAAGTTGGGAAAACAACTTCAATTTTAGATGTAACAAGTTTGAATTTCACAACTATAAAAGCAGACTTATTCTTTAACAGATTTTATTTCACAGTTTAAAAAGTGTTAAATCTTTAAAATTAATAGCAAAAATAAATCTTACATGGCAGAAACGTGTCCCACTTGGCGGACAAGAAACTATTGCCTCCTGGTGTCAGTTGTTTGCTACTCTTAACATCAAGTGCAGCAGTTCTAGAATTGACGTTGTCGTCACTTTCATAGTACACTTCTGTCACGGTGTACTTCTTCGAATGCATTTTTAACAACTAGAATGCAAAATATGTTTGAACTGAAATGTTGCTATGTATCCCTATTAAAATAAAATTAATAGTTTATGAATATAATAGAAACTAGAGTTGTTAGTAAAGTGCACGTGCCTTGTCTTAGTTACAGAATGTAAAAAACTTCGATTATCTCTTAACTGTTTCGAATTGTGTATTATTATAATCAGTAAATACTTCCCCTCCTCCCTTCCTGTTATCCTCCTTCCAGTTGTCTATGTAATAACATGCCTTTCTCGCTCCTTTTCCACTTATTATATACACAACAAGGTTTAACGTTTAAACAATTTTTATATTCTTTTATTTCCACATAAACGGATGTTGCGTCACCTCAAAAGTACTGAGGAGGATGGGCGTATCTACCCATACCATTTTCTGATTATGAAACCACTGGTCTAAATGAGTGTTAAACCTAGAATGCGTTCGCTAAAGAAATGGCTGATATACCTTTATCATAATTAGCACTAGTTAAAGATTTAGGCAACAGTAACTTAGCTGCCTTACCATGACAATAATTACTATGGCATATATAAAACAATAATATTGCGCTTAAAGTTCAAATTCCTTAATCATTGTTAATTATTTTTAAGCATAAAGATACACAATGGAATGTCTGTTCTTTGCAAACTGCAGGTATCGAAACCGGATTTTCAGCGCTATTAACCTTCCTGCTAGGCTACGAGAGGAAAAATTATTTATTTGTATTAGAAATGTGCTAAGTAGTTAACAATAGATATATATTTACAGAAAATAATAAACAACGGGCACCAGAATATGCTTGAGATGTAAAAAAAAACAACAAAAAACGAGTGACAGAATTAAGGTATCTTCAGGCAACACGAACGTAAACGTTTATGGTTTTTATATCCGAGGAACAGAACTTAACAATTAAAAGTGAGCTACGCTTTTACAATACTTTTATTATACATAAGTCAGCATTAAACACACACACAAAATTACAAGACCTCTAGTGAGTGTTAACTTTCTCTCATAACAAGATAATCAGCTCTTTATTAGGGTTTCTGGTATATGAAAAACCAGAATTGATGAAATTATCAACTCCAGTATTTGATCAACCAGTTTTGTTATGATTTTCAACATATTCAGGCTTATACTTTACGGATTCTTTAGTACAATACAACTTTAAAACGATTTTCATCAGTACACAGAGATCCAACAATTAAAACACAAATTAATATACTTAGGATCAAAATCAGAACAAAGATACAAATACTAAAACAAGCTAACTGGTAACGCAAAACACCACGGTACACACAAACAAAGATAAGGCCGAAACCTTTAGAGAACAACTACAACATACCTCCCGGACTCATCTTGAACTAGACATGAAGAACGATTTTTATAACAAGGTAAATAAACATATAACACAAAACAAAAACATGTACAAATTCCCAGCTAATATTAACTACGAAAAAACAGAAGGTGATCGCAATAATAATACGATAGCTTATCAACTGATAAAAATAACAGAAACAGACGTCATACAAGCAATCAAAACAACAAAAAACAAAGCTCCAGGAGAAGCTGATATTCAAACTATCCTCCTCAAATGAGACACTCAGAGATTGTTTGAGAACCTAACAGCCCATTTTAACCTATCTTTAAATTCAGGACACATCCCAGTTTCTTGGAAACAAGTGATCGTCTTAATGTTCCACAAAGAAGGAACGCCAGCGAATATACCGGACAGTTTCCGCCCAATCAGTCAGACTAGCTGCATAGGAAAAATTTTAAAACGTATAATTAGAAATAGACTCTTCACATTCTTGGAAACGACTTCAAAATTGCCAGAAACTCAAAATGGATTTAGAAAAATCAGACAAACTACAGACCACTT